GAATATAGCTTGCAGAGGTGTAATCAACATGCCACTACATTTTTTCAATATGCACGCAGTATTTGGTTGTATTTGCGGAAGCGTTTAAACGCGGCGGACTTCTCGCTGTCCACGTCGGTGCAATCCTTATCCCACGTCGGAGTTAGAGGTCGTTTGCGAATGAAAGCACCCGGAACGCGTTTCGTCTGTGCTTGAAGAGCGCAGTCAACGATACGTCGCGATAAAAAGGAGTACACATCTAGCGGAGGGAGTATCTCAACCGATTCCATCCCAAGTAACAAATCTAGAGCTGCTTGGCTATATTTAAAATTTATAAAGGTTTTATTGCAGCTGCAACCATTACCTACAGCTTTATGACGGTCATATACAATGCAAGTCATGGAACATTTTATAGCTATCTACAAAACCCCTATAAAGCTTATAAAAAACCAACTGATGCTTATGCTATTTTCACTTATGAAAGGTTTTATGATTGCCTTGAAGTATAAAAAAAGCAAAATGAATTGCCCTTATAAAACCCAAAAATACATCTCTTTATTGCTATATAAGTAAGCGCAATAAAACTAGTTGGCCATGAAACAGTTATTTAAAAACAATTATAAGCATTCAGTTGCAACTTGTCCGAAGTGTGAATGGGCGGTTTATTTTTACAACATAGAAAGAATCAAAACTTTCCGGTACTTCCGAGCGGAGCGCAAAGAAAATCAATAAATTTTTTAGCATGAGCCCGTTTATTTGCTACAGTCTGCCGCAAACCTTTGTGAATAACTTGAACCAAGAAAAAAAACGCCGCTGCATTTTATGCGGATGTCACAAAGGAAGCTGTAAAGAGTGTGCCTCCTCACCATTCTGAACCATCTTCACTTCGAATGGACAGATTGCTACACCAAAAATGACTCACGAAGAGAAAATATATAATTATCTTGAGTAGGAGGATGATACCTACACACTACGAAAAAGGCATGTAAATTTCGGTGCCCTGAGACCGACACATGTAAGCGGCCCTTTTGACATAAGAATCAGTTGAAAGAAACGAGAAAATCAATTCAATCAAACGTTCGCTTCGTCGACTTGCTAATGTTTCGGTTTGAGAAAACTCAATTTTACATGAAATGTTTGTTTACGTTCCAAGATTTACGTCCAATTAGATTACGTTTCGTGTAAAAGTAGTTATTTCTAAGTATGTATGCCAACTTGCGTCTCTTATCAGATTTACAGTCGTGGATGGTCACAACAATTCAACAATTAGCATTGAAATTTTTTTTTCTTTTATTTCCTTTTTTCATGGAGTGACACTGTCGAACCTTGGTCGAAATACATGGAATGGTGACAGTTCTAGGACAAAAAAGTTGAAATCACGCATAACTTTTCATAAAGTTTAATGTACCATTCAAAACTTTTCCAAATGTTTGTTAAATTCATCGGTTGCACCCGTAGAATAGGAATAAACGTTTACCCTCAAATATAAAAAAAAATGAATGGTTCTTGTAAAAAGAAAATAGTGCTCGAAATAAAATCATGCATTATGCTTTTCTGTTCTGCTTCCATGCAATGTAAGCATTAGGGAAAATCTCTCTAATAAAGCAAAAAAAAAGTAAGCATTAGACATTTTAAGAAATTGCGCTTGGTGTTTTTCTTGCCTGCTGTCCTCTGTCGCCATATTGTCATTATGAAAATCTCATTAGCCTTTGAATAAAATCCAAGAAATTTCAATAAAATAATGGCTAAATTAGAGTTCCGAACTAATTTCCAGTGTGCATTGGTATGAATTTATTTATTGAGATCTATTTTCTGTAAAATTAAGATGATTCCATCAAATTAATTTGATTTCCAAAACAATCTTTTTTGTTGAATTGAATTATTTTTTGGCGCATTTATTTTATGCTCGTATTATCCCAATATACACGATGAAATTTCAAGCGGATATGTTTTGGAACTTCTAACAAGTCATATATTTTCTTTAAGATTTTAACTAATGTCGCCATGAAACCAAATTGATTGCATGGTGATCTTGACACCAACACTCAAACCTATTTTTACAGCCAAAGATTACCATATGGAAAAAAAAGTTTCAGCAGAACAGAACAACAACAAGCTAATTTATTGCGGTTGCTTTGATGCAATAAAAATTAAATTGGATTTATAACTGATTTTCACCAAAGCGTAATAAAACTGCTTGGATACAATATTACTCTTAAAGAGGCTATGAGAATCTTTTGAATAGTATGGGGCTTTCTTACAAAAGTTTTTAAGACAGCTTTATTGTGATTCTCAAACATGCTTTACAAACCTTATCAAGAGTGGTCCACTAAGCTGGAAGACGATCTTATAGCGGTTATCAAAAGGTTGGAGCTATTAATTGTATTGACGGTTTTATAAAATTGATCTCAAAAACCACTAATAGAGTGCAATAAAACAAGAAATGCTACTTGGGATACCACCGAGAACCGTGGCCGCAAATTTATGCCAGTCGATGTTTTTCGTGAGGTCGTACGCATGTCAACCAAGCGAGTGGAAGATGAACCATTGGTAATAGTAATTTTAATAGCCAGCTCGGGGATAAAAGTATCAATAATCAAATAGAAGAAGATGAAGAAGAAGAAGAATAAGAAGAAGAAGAAGAAGAAGGAAAAGAAGCAGAAACCATCGAAAACAAAATTCCTCACACAAAAAATAAAATAAATAAAAATAAAGTTCTATCACCACTCTTATGTTGAAAGCCCTCCCAAATTCAAATCGGTGCGATTTTTTCTTGTACGGTACAGCACTCCTAGTGGTTGGTTCTAGAATCTTTTGACAGAAATTCGTTTCTCTTGAAATCCTGTGCAAACATAAATAAACAAGTTTATGTATTCTTAAATTGCCACGCGATGGATGATAAAAGAAGAGCATTAATGATGCACACAATATATGAAAACCCACTGCTGAAACGTTTCAAGGAACGTTTGTCTGCGGGGAATGTAACCCTTGCTTACATGTACTAATGAGTCTCAAATCAATTATTGATAGCACTTAAATATAAGTTTTATGCTTTTCCCGTAGTTCGATGATAATAACCTTTAAGATTGTGTAAACAAATCCTCTATAAACAGTCCGTGCCACACTAGCTTGCCGTGCGGATCTATTTGCTTTTTGCAGAAGGAGGTGTTACTGCTACCTAAAGCTACAACAAATCTAAACAGCAGTTTTCAGTGCTCAACCTGTGAAATTTCTACCTTGTTGACTATTATTCTTCTTCGATCCTTGTTTGGACCCTACCCGAAGTAATCCTGCTTGGCCATAGACTTGGAAAATTTCTTTTTGATCCTTCGGATTCTTATAGTAATCTGCTGGGAAGTTTTGGGCAAACTTGGTACTGTCGCCATTGAGCCTACGCGCAAAAAAAAAGGGCAATCGCTTGATCCCCCTTCTGATAAAATTCAATTGAACAATCAAATTTATATGCTGATGAAGATGAGAATGATCCATCATCCAGGCAACATGTCATTAAACATTCCCGGCTTAATGCCAAAAAGGAAAAAGTTCCCCTATACAGGGTGCGTGACGAATTTTTGCAGTAAATTTCAAATAGTAATTTCTCATGCTTGTGCATCATGATTTAGATATATTTGGCAGCACTGGATAGCTTATACTGTTAGGTGTAAGATTTAAACAAACAATGTTGAGTAAACGTAAAGATGTCGAAACAAGAGAGCAATCTGTCAGCCGTTGTCGCTTTGTTGCGCACCGGAGTATGCATGAAAGAAATAATTCGGTCGGTAAATGTGTCTGAAAGAACAGTGTATAATATTAAAAAAGGCTTGGAAAAGTGAAAAGACGGAGCACCTGCTCATACTGCTAATAAAGCACAGAAATGGCTTACGGAAAATATTTCGTAAATTTGGGAGGAAGAAATTTGGCCCCCAAGCAGTCCCGATATCAATCCGTTGGATTATTTTGTATAGGGCGTCGTCCAACGGGATACCAATAGAACCCCTCACACCACACTTAAGTCGCTAAAAGCTAAAATCAAGGCAGTGATGACGTCTATGGATCGAAACATTTTAAAACGTGCATACTGCAGTTTCCGGAAGCGTCTAACTACAGTCGTCGAAAGGGAAGGCAATTTTTTTGAATAAATTTACTTACAACTTCCATATGTTGCGAAAGAAAATAAATCGCACAAAATTCATTGCTAGAATAACTAACTGGTTTATTTTTTCTCAAATATGCAATTTACTGCAAATATTCGTCACGCACCCTGTAGATATTACTACTTCGCAAGGAACTTTTGAACTTTGTTCAATTTAATTTTTCACTTCAAATTGGCGGTCGGGGTGAATGTCGTGTATTGGCTGGAATCCTGGACGGATTCAAACGTCTTCTAAAGTTTCTTTCTGAGAAGCAACACACAATTTTTACAACCAAAATCTAACGTCTGTTCAAGGTTGTCATGAAGGAACTGCCCAGCGGTGAATCATTGGATCAGACCAAAGATGAATTGACTAAATTACTTGGAGTTGAGCCTGTCAAGTAAGCAAAATGAAAATGAAATCCCATCCTGGCGATTCACGCAACGGGATTTCCAATGATTTTTATTTAGTTCAAGTCTAGTGAAATAAACAACCTTAAGTCCTTTGAAAAAGCTAGCCTTATGCTCCATGTCCGAGTGAAGTGGGAACACTTCAGGAAGAGTGGAGGAAATTTCCATAAACTCACCCAGTGCCATTATTGATAAACGAATCAAACATCAAATTATTTCTTCATTGGAAACCAGATGTTTTGAAAATTTGGGAGTTTCTGTCGAAACAACAGACAACTTACGTATATAGCTGCCTATTTGCCATTCCAATACGTAGGCCAGCAAAATAATTTTCTCAAGGGCGGGTTACCTTCAGAAACTTACCCGTCATAGGTCTTAATTCTTCATTATTGGTTATTTTAATGCAAAACACCGCTCATGGAATAATGCTCAAAGCAATTCCAATGATAATATTCTGTTTGATGATTTTTCTGCAGGTTATTACACTATTTATTTATTTGTCGTCAATCAGTGCAGACCGTTTTACAATTTTACTTAAACGCTAATTGTTACAATTTTACTACAAGTACTTGCATAACATTTATATTTTATTATTGATGCCTTGCTTACCTCGTGAAGATAGTTTTTTGAAGCGTACTCTTATTCATTGTTATGTCAATAGATTCACAGTATGTATTAAAGCAAGACATCATTATATTCAATGGGCTATTTTTGGCACAGTCTGTTCTTTGATTGTTGATGCTACACAAATTTCTATTCCGGAGTGTGCGAGTGGGAGCATAAAAATTAATGTTTTCCTTTTATTGACTTTTTTGACTTTAAATGATCTTTATTTCTTGTATTTGAGTGGTTTACATGTATTACTTCTCAAGTGACACAGACGCGTCTTTTCCACTTTAGTTCTTTTGAAATTTCAATTATTATTAATTACAGCTCCCAGTCTTATCAGGCCTGTTTTAAGAATGACCACCTTGGTGGGATTGGATTGCGTTAAATTAAGAACTTATAACTACTATTTATAAATACAACTTACCTACAACAACTACATACACCTAATCTTCTATATACATTAATATTTTGCAAAATCACATCGTTCATAAGAGCAATCATTGCGAACTCTCTTCGCTCGAACTCCAGACGAAACTAGAATCGCACTACCGTTCATACTGGCGACAACGCTCTGATAAAAAAACGAAACCTTACCCCCAAGCTCCTCCCCTGTTCTGATCATTCGACAATGTACCTCTCCAACCTCATGTAAGCCGCGAGTATTCGGCCCAACTCCTACTAGAATTAAGTGAATTTTTTTACAAACAAAGAACAATGAACTATCGGCTCCGACTTTCAAATAAACGAACTAGTTAAAAAAAATCTCTACGCTTTTTGAGTTCATCTAAATTAATTAGCATACAACCGCGACTCATAAGATGGAAATGGTCAACTCGTCCAACCCAACTTTCTTAGAGCAAACAACAAGAACTGCTTTTGAACTGATTCAATGCGGTTTACATATGTAACATGATATGAAGCCCAAACTATGCTACAATATTCGAAAGAGGCCCCACGCTACGTAAAGTGTTTTTATTGTGTAGGGATCATTGAAGTGCAAACTAAATCTTTTAATGAACCCGAGCATGTTGCTTGCTTTGTAGATAATGTTATTGTAGTGGGGGCGACCCCGGCGTAGTGGTTAACATCCATACCTCTCACGCCAAAGTCACGAGTTCAAATCTCACCCCCGGACAAGTCACGAATGACCCAAGAGTGTTAAAGTGACTATAATAAAAAAAAGTTATTGTAGTGATCAGCAAAGGTTAACTTGGAGTCGAGGATAACACCGAAGTGTCTGACTTGATAGGATTTTTGGATTGTTTTCTGGCCAAGAGTAATTTTGTCGTTTGCTTTCTTTTGAACGATTTAGAATTGCAATTATTAACATTTGGTTCCAACAAATTTTACTTATGCCATGCGCTAAAACGTCAATTTTATGTTGAAATATTTGAAGAACAGGTGCTTTAGATATCTCCATGAAAAATATGCTTGACTTGCGCAACTTATTTATGACTATAACTATAACGCAGGATGTTTTAAAAGCAATTAATATGTAACTTATCTACAACAGGAATTTTTATTATTTTTCATGCAAGATGTTGCAAGTATTACTTGGGTACGAGTACTGCATATAAATGGTTTGAAAGCTATTTGTCTGACAGAACTCAAGGGATGGGCTACAAACAAAGAACAATGAACTATCGGCTCCGTAAAGCTAACGCGATTGAGTCTTCCAAATAAATGAACTAGTTAAACAAAAGAACTCAACGGACTGTATTTAATGATTCTGTTTTCATTCCCGTGGGGAATAACCTTGGAGTTCCTCAGGGAAGTGTATTAGGGCCCCTGTTATTTACTATGTATATTAATGACCTGCAACGTGTCTTACGATTTTGCGATATTAATCTTTTTGCAGATGATACTGTGTTATTCATTGCAGCTAAGGATTAAGATGATGTCATTTTACACTTGTATGAAGATTTGCGTACTCTTATCATTTGAAGCGTTTTGCAGAGATTTTCAATTTAAAGCAAACGGTAAATGAATATACGCGTCTTTCCAGGCACAGTCGAACTTGAATTGACCTCGTTCATTCCAGTTTTGATTCGATTTGTTCAGTTACGGATACTGATTTGAAAATAACCGATCATGAGACCTTAGTAATTAATGTCTTAGATCATGTTAACGATTACGATAGATTTGAAAAATTCAAGTGCTGGAGTGCTGGAATATTTCTCAAAGTAAGGTGTTTCGAATCTTGATAATAGAAGCGTGGATTTTCCATTCGTGGCCGATAACTTAGATAAATCTACAGCTGTTTTTAATAACGCTCTGAAAACGTGTTCAAATCAAGTGGTTGGCCAAAAATTTGTTTCTTTGAATAACTCGAACAGCTGGTACAATTTGAATCTTTTGCGTCTTAAACGAAACAGGGACAAATGGTTTCAAAAATTGTGTAGATCTATAATAATGATGATAATAATGACAATCATTGGAATAGGTACACAATCGCGCGTAATAAGTATTCACAATCGATAAAGAAAACTCGTTGTGAATATGTTAAAAAGAAGATTGATCAGCATCAAAACAACAGCAAAGAGTTATGGAAAATTTTGAAATCTTTATTAAGACCTAGTAATTGCAAACTGCGGTCCATAACTTTTAATGGCACATTAGAACAGTCAGAACAAGTAATTGCAGCTATGTTTAGTGATTATTTTGTAGACAGTGTTTCATTGATTAATCAATCCATTGAATTGGTCGATGAACTTGACGAAATAAAACAGCCAGTTAATAGTAGTTGTAGATTTGAAGGTTTTCACTCAAATTTTACCAAAAATCGGCTGGAGTAGAAACTGTTAATGCTAGAGTAATTCAAGATTGCTTTGATGTCATTGGCCACATCTTGTTGAACCTTATTAATGAATCATTGCAAAATGGACATGTGTCACACATTTGCAAAGAATGCATAGTGGTCCCTATTCAAAAAGTTGCTGGAACGATTAAAGCCGAAGAGTTTCGTCCCTTCAACATGTTGCACACATTAGAGAAAATTTTATAACTTGTTGTTAAAGGCCAGTTGTTGGAGTATTTAAATAGTAATAGTTTGTTGATACCAGAACAATCGGGATATCTGGAAGGTCATTCTTGTGAAACCGCGTTGAATTTGGCATTAGCGAAGTGGAAAAATATCTTGAAGTGTAAAGATACGATTGTTGCTGTCTTAAACGCACTTTTGAAACAATTTCTAGGCCCTAATTGTTAAGATCAATCAAGCGCTTTGGAATTAAGAGTACTGCATATAAATGGTTTGAAAGCTATTTGTCTGACAGAACTCAACGGACTGTTTTTAATGATTCTGTTTTCAGTCCTGTGGGGAATAAACTTGGAGTGCCCCTGGGAAGTGTAGTAGGGCCCCTGTTATTTATTATGTATATTGATGACTTGCGACGTGTTTTAGGATTTTGCGAAATTAATATTTTTGCAGATGATACTATGTTATTCATTGCAGCTAAGGATTAAGATGATGCCGTTTTATATCTTTATTAAGGAGACTTTCAGCCCTGGGCTGGTTCGTCTCCGGAAAGATAAGCAGTTGAAATTGAATACAAGTAAATCTAAATTTATGGTAATTTCGCGGAATCGATTAAATGAGAATGTCTCTGTTGTAATTGATGATAAGACTATTGATTGCGTTCGGGAGATTAAAGTATGATTATTGATGACAAACTTTAGTTTAACTTTTACATTGACAATATCATCAAGAAAATTGCCAAGAAGTATGGAATTCTATGTCGACTGAAAAACGATTAAACTATTGCCAGTTAAATACAACTATACAAATCAATCATCTCTCCTCATATAGACTTTTGCCCTTCCATTTTATATCTGGCCATTTCAACACAAATATCTAGATTACAGCGCATGCAGAATAAAATAATGCGTTTGATAGTGAGATGTAATAGATTCACTTCCTCAACTTAGATGGTAGACGCCTTACAATGGTTGTCGGTGAAGTAGAGAATTGATAATTTGACTGTGGTGTTCATTTTTAAAGTAGTTATCGATTTGCTGCCTCGATATGTGTGTGATCGAATTGAAAGAGGAAGTGACTTTAATAGATATAATACTAAAAACGCGGATGAAATAAGAAAACCACATTTCTTGACTTGTGCTTCACAAAATTCATTATATTATAAAGGAATAAATGTTTTCAATTCGGTGTCTAGACATATCCAACGTTCAGCAACACTTACAGAATTTAAAGGACACGGCATTTCACACGTTAAATCTGTCCTTTGAACAGTTATCCAGTGATTTTTTTATGAATTGACAAATTATGAATTTTGACAAAGCTATCGCTAATGGATTATTTTATATGGATAGCTGTCAAAACGACTTTTTAATAATTATTGTAGCACTGTAAAATCTATTTCTGTTTGCCCCGATGGTGATGACGGATTTTTAATATTTGAATTAATAGTAGATAAATAAAAAATAAAGTAGTCTACAAAGGTTTGAGCCTCGCGCGCGAATTACGGATATAGAGGACAGAATTTTACATTTGATAAAAAAAAAATGCAATTTTGAAGCTTATTTGGAAGATACCTTGAGTTAGTAGTATGTTTTCTGGCAAATGTTGGGGGTTCGTGAGCATTCCTGACATTGCTTAAAATTATGATAGCATCAGATTGCGGGGTTGCTATTGTAATAGGATGCTTTGTTGATTGTTCATTAACTCTTGATTGCTTGTATTACTTATGAGTATTTTAGGTGGACAAAAAGGCGAACTAAGAGGTGGACGCCTGAGTTTTTCCACATTAATATCGCTGTGAAGCAACTGTAAGCTCTAGAGGGAATTTATATATGTATCTGTAACCAGTTCAATTTTGTTTGCAAATCGGGTTAAATTGTCATGTATATTATCTTGAAGATAAATCGTCAAGCTAAAACCTTTGTAGGAGTAAAAGGTGGGACCATCATCATCATCATATAGATGTCGATTGTTATTCTGACACACATGCATAGAAAACTTGTTTAAAATACTGAATTTCCATGGTTGGGTCCACCGATGCAACTTGTGTCGTTATTTTTTCTTTAAATCACTGAAATAGAACTTTTTTGTCAACGTAGATGTTTCGGTTGGTGCCTGTTGAACTCTAAAACAAATGAAAACAATTATATTATAAATTGAGGAAAGCTCAATTTCATACTTACCTTGTACTGCGACATTCATTCCTAATTAGTGTCATTATGTCGATTATCTCTTTGTCTGCATTTTTCTCAATTATTTGGAACAAATTTTGAATAAAAAACGAACCTTTTTCAGTGTCCCTCATAGATACAGTTCCTACAAATAAAATATTAATTGTGAATATGAGCTGTAATGCTTTTCTCTTTTACATAAGACATTACAATATTCCCGTAAACTCACCTTCATAAGTGCTGTAGCACTTCAACATATCGAACTTGTTGGTAGCCTTGGGATGAAAGTCCGTTTCCATAGTGGCACCGCCTTTGCAGGCTTGCACGAAAAACAGCTTCGGCTTGTTTTTAAGAGAGTCATTCATCAATATCGGTTCAACAATTTTCGCCTCAAAATCGTACGTTTTGTCCTTTGCTCTTATAAGGTCTCTTCTTTCTCCGTGACTCATAATAATCACGATCAAACAAGAATAGTTGTTAAAGCTTTTTTTCCGAACTGAAAAAAAGAAGCATTATGTTTTTCATCCTCTCGACTTATTTTTTATATTACTGTCATACTTTCAGTCATTTTCTTCTCGACCTTTTGTACCGTGTAATCCTCACAGGGGCTAGGTACTTCTGCACGATAGTTTTTAAAAACATCCTTGATCAACTTTATATCATGTTCAGTTCCTTTTCGATGTAGTTCGGGATCATTTTTGAACGTGTGATGGAAAATTAGTACATATGCTTTATCCTTCAGGTCGTACCGCTCCGAAAATGTATGATTTGATGGCCTGTAATAGAAGGAATACGTTCAATAGAAATTTGATGCACATTTTTATAATTGTAACATCATAATTTATAATTTTAGATGACTTGATTTTTATTGTGCTTTTGGTTTCCTTTGTGAATAACAGAGGCGATATTATTCAAAAGAGGCTTTGAACTATTGTCCATATCCGCATAAAGCTAGATGTTCTTTGTTTATAGAAGTAATTTATCTACCTTCAAGGTTACAAATACGTACGTCAACGAACAAATTAAGCACACTGCGCTAATTATCATTTATAATTTGGGAAATATAAGTATAAGTAAAAGCATCACTTACCCTGGAGCTGCACTAGTAGAATTGGCCAACAAACGTCGAGCATCTTGAGTAATTGAGTTATTGCCTGTAAGGGTTGGTACTGTCAACCGAGTTGGCACTGAGGAAGGTGTATTATGTAAGGGTTGGTCGGGGACTATTTGATTTATTGTTCCAAATGCTTGTGACCCTCTCGTTTGGTTGTATACGGGATTGTAGGTGCTACTAATTGCTACGACATTCGTCGCAAATGAACTGGATCGACTCACGAATCGCGTTGAAGTCGTTCGTGTTATGGAGGTAGTTCTAGAAGTTTGGGAGGATCTCGTATTTTGTTGAGTCGTGTTGTTTGCCACGAATTTCTTGTTATTGTGGTTCATTTTAATATTGATTTTAGTTGTTAAAAAATCTAATTGTGAAAATTTGCTACTCACACTTTTTGTCGATAAGAGGTGAAAAAATAAGCTACACGGCGAATGAGAACGCCTCAAATTTGAGTTTATTTCACTCATAATTGCCAACAGTGCAGGATCTCAGATATTAGTAAAATTTGTCTCATGGTTTCCTGTGGAAAACCTAAAAATCTGCCGGAAAATGAGGAAATTGACAAAAATTTTATTCAGTCTCGGAGTAGTACCAATAGACTGAGTGAATCCAATCTTTACTTTTCTCAAGTTCGGGAATTTTTCCCTGGAAAATCCTGGAAAAACCTGGGAAAACATGAGGCAAATTTACTCATCGCTGAGTTCCTGCACTTTTGGCGATTATGAGTGAACTAAACTCATATTTGAGTCGTTCTCATTCACCGCGTATAGGTGTTAAAAAAAACGATAAGCGAACGTTCATCTTATCAGGGTGTCAAGCTGCTGTCAGTGCCATTCTGTTTGCAGTACCATCGGCGAGGGGCTTTATATATGTGATATCGTTTTAGTTGATACACCAACATAAATAAATGACTAGGAATGGTGTTTGATGCTATGTTTTAGTATGAATTAGACCGGGCATCATGGCAGCATTCTCCATTTGCAAGGTGGCATGGCGGTGTGAATAAGCGTGAGTTTATTTTATCAGCCCATATGAAAAAGTTGCTATCCCAGGAGACCTGTTGTTATAGTTTTTAGATTTAGATTGAGATGGATTATTACCCAATTTTCAAGATTTTGATTTCTGCGTGTTTTTTCCGTAGTATATGTTCACTGGTTTTAAACGAGATTTTTAGATTGCGATTACCTTTAAATATCGCAATTTAAGAAAAAAAAAGCAGGAGATCAGTGAAGTATGCAAATGCGTCTAAGAACATTGCGCATTTCACACCACCGTAGACTTCTGTGCTAAGCATAACCCAACAAACAATTTTAGCTGCAGCTTAGCTTATACAGGCAAAAATTAGCTGCATAAGGAAAATTTTGGCTGTATAAGCTAATCTGCAGCTGAAATTGTTTGTTGGGAATTCCTCATGATGCGATGCAGCTCAGGGCTGAAAGTCTCTTCAATCAAATAACACGAGTTGTAGACAATGAACAAGCACCGCAACAGTAGTTGCTATCGAATATACATACTATGGCGTGACCTGCTCTGAAAACACCGTTAAGAGCACACTGAGTTATTATTTTGTAGTTTGAAATATTGGACATTTCGTGCCACAGTAGACTCATGCGCTAAAAATAATCCCTCAAGACTCAGTAATCAGCTCAATAACCAGCTCAGGGCTGAAAGTATCTATAATAAAATAGAAGAAAAAGAAGAAGAAGGATGAGGAGAAGAAGAAGAATGAGAAGAAGAAGAAGAAGAAGAAGAAGAAGAAGAATAAGAAGAAGAAAAAGAAGAAGAAGAAACCAGCGCTCCTAGTTGTTGGTTCTTGAATCTTTTGACAGAAATTCGTTTCTCTTGAAATCCTGTGCAAAATTAAAAAAAAAGTTCATGTATTTATTGCCACTCGATGGAAGAAAAAAAAAAGAGAATTAATTACACTAGTTTACAGCATTTTTGAACTCGGTAAGGTGATGATCATTTCCAATGCAAAATCCTACGCTGAATTCAATGCCGTGGTCAGAAAAAATTATAGTAGAGCCATTTTTGAGATATACAAAAAATTTGATTTTTTGAATTTTGGACAAAAGTACGATTACTAAAATGTCAATATCTTTGGAACAAGTGCACCAATTTTAAATTTTTTTATGAAAATTAAGCTAAATAAATTTGCTATCGTTCACTTGAATACTATGTCTTAATTAAAAATTTAAGTTTGAAGTCATTTAAAAATTTACAGCATTTTTTTTAATTTTTCTTGCGAATTTTCCATAAAAATCTTGTTTTAATCAACATTTTTAATGGGATAAAAAGATTCCAAAAATCATTCCATAATTTATTCTTAAAGTCCATTCAAAACCGGAGAAAATGAGCCTTTAATGAATGAAATCGGTTGGAAATTGTCGAAGTTATGAGCATTTTTGTAAAACACTTAAAAATGTTGCTGAAATACAACAGCTTTAGAGTTCCTTTTCTAGGTGTCGTTGTAAGCATCCAAATCGCATGTAAAGTTTACATGGGAGATTCTTTTCTCTACGTATCAATTTGATTAAGGCATATCAGGATTTAAAACCGAGTTGATACAAAAGAAATTTATTTAGGTTTTATTAAAAATGATTGAGAATCGAATGACTTTGCCTTCGATGTTTTGAACTTGTTTCTCGAATCAGAAACCAACAATAGTCACCCATCATTGCTTCATCCCAAAACCCTTGGTAACGACGTTCCATCATCTTCATTTGTTGGTGAAAACGTTCGCCGTGCTCATCACTCTCGTCACCAAGATTTTCCGGGAAAAAATCCATGTGAGAATGTAGGAAATGTATCTTCAAAGACATATTCACACCTGTGTTCAGTGAAATAAAAGGATTTGAAATTAATTATATGTAACAAACACAATATTTTTGATTAATACCTATTTTCTCATAATTTTTGAGCAATTCATCGACGGCTTCCTCATAATCTGGGCTTCTGAAATTTCCTAAAAAGGTTGTGACAACACGCTGGAACGATTTCCACGCTTCTTCCTCATCTGGTGTCAAAACTGTATTGAATGCGGAATCATTGAGCAGTTTTTTGATCTGTAGGCCAACAAATACACCTTCCTTTATCTTTGCGTCAGATAAATTTGGAAATACTGATTTCAAGTACTGGAATGCCGGCCCTTCTTTTTGCAACGCTTTGACGAAATTTTTGAATAGCCCAAGTTTTATATGTAGTGGTGGAAGTATTATGCGTTCTTTTACCACAAGAGGATCATTTTTAAAGTTGTCTTTACCAATTGTGAAATTATCCCGTTTTGGCCAATCTTTTCGGACGCAGTGTTCCTTACGACTGTCCCATTTACACAAAAAACACATATATTTTGTGTATCCCTGTTGCAATCCAGTCAACATGGCAACCACTTTAAGATCGGAACAAATTTTCCAATTGTGTTGATTGTAATTTATCAAATTGAGCAATAGAGCCATTGATTCATACGTTTCCTTCATATTAACGGCATGAGCTAATGGAATAGAAGGTTTCTCATTTCCTTGATGCAGTAAAACGGCTTTCAAGCTCAACTTGCTGCTATCGATGAATAAACGCCATTCAGCTGGATCATATGACTCACCAAACTCTTCAAACTAGCCGTTTACGTCATGGCAAAAACATGCCTTGTCCTTTGTAGAATAATATTTGTCAAATTTCTTGTGACGATTCCTGTGACAAGAAATTTTGACCTCCTTGCTCAGCATGTTGTGTTGAGCTGGCATTCGAAGTTAATAACACTCTGACTTGCGATTGTAGAATAATGTATATTTCAGTTTCAGTTAGTTTTATTAATTAACCAATTGCGCAGATAGAATTCAATATTGTTTATGCTGAATCTTTCCCAAGTCCTATGTTGATATGTTGCTTCCTGTTGTTTACGAATTGACCCGATACCATGTGGCAAAAGTCACACGCAATCGATTATGCTTATTGCAAGTATGCTTAGCTATGCAAACAATCATTTCATTCATTGCGCCGTCTGCGTGCGTTGTTGATCGTCTTGCGCTTGACCTAGTAAACATGTTTATTGCATTTGGGATTTCTTAGGAATGTTTATTTGAGACCCAGTGGAAATGCTTGGTATACATTAATGTCATTTTGATTTACAAGTTTGTTTTTCGTTTATGTTGCGCATCGACACTTTTAACGGAAATGATTGCGTCTTAATCAAACTGTTTTTCAATTGGTTTGCGCATCCACCACACGCCCTATTTATTTTTATTAAAAAAAATATAGTTTGATATTTTTTTTTATTTGCATGCTGCGCAATTGATTTTAATTTTTCATTTTGTTTGTTCTTGTTTTTGAATCTTAGAAGATGGAAAAAGCCTATTTGAGCTGTAACCTAATTTAAAAATATAGGACTCTCTCAAAAGGACATAAAAAACCATCTTATCTTTTCATCATTATTGTACAATAGTTTGACAATAGTTAGTAATTCTACAATACATGAGTTTTGTTATTTTCTAAAATGCATCCACTACACGCTTCATCTGTTATAAATGGTTTTATTCTTTGTTTATGAATCAGATCTGTTTTGTTTTCAAATCGAATTTCAACATTGGGATCTTCATCATGTATAACAGGAAATGGTCCTAAATATTTTTTATCTAATTTTGAATTTGTTTCATTTTTGATCAACACTAGTTGTCCTGGCTTATACACTTTGTGATTTAAATTACAATTATACTTTTGTGTTCGTGATTGCTTGTTTTGTAATAATTTATTTCTCGCTATTGTTTGAGATACTTGTAGTTTGTATTTAAGAATTTTACAATAATTGTCAAAGTTATACAATGGCTCTATTTCTTCTGGATGATGTATGTTTGATGGCAAGGTGCATAATTTTCCAAATACTAACTCAAATGGTGTTTTGTTTGTTTCTGTGTGAACTGTTGTATTATAAGCAAATCTATAGTAAGGGATCCAAGATGACCATTGAAATGAATTGTTATCACATTGTATGCGTAAAAAGTTTCCCATGACTTTATGCGAATTTTCTAATGCTCCAATGGATTGATGGTGATAAGCGACTGAATTAATTTTGTTGATGTGTAATAAATTACAAACTTCTGTAAATAATTTTGACATGAATTCAGTTCCTCGATCTGTAGCTATTTCTTTGGGAATACCAAACTGCAAAACTACATTCTCAACGAATGCTTTCGCAACAGTTTCAGTTGATTTGTCTTTTATTGGGGTAGCTGTTATGTATTTGGTTAGTTCACATTGTGTAGTTAGAATATATTGATTACTTTGTTCATCTGGAATGATGGGTCCAACCAAATCCAAATAAATTTTTTCAAAAGCACTTGTTGCAGTGGAAGTTATTTTCATAGGAATTTTTGGTTGATT